AAGTTGGCATCCAGGCTTCTGGGATTTCAATTTCACTGTCCCTGTTGATGTTGCTTGGGTGAAGTCTTATTTGAATGTCCTCTATCACCCTGCAGTTACAAACCACAACCTGTTTTATAATATAGCTCACCATTATCTTTAGTAGCAATTTCTGTAATTGCAATTTTGTAAATAAGGTTTAATATAAGGACCCATGTGATCCAAAAACAAACCAAATAAGATCTTATATTCCATTGTTTATCCCACTTTGTAAATTTTATATGTAACAATTATTCACCAAAGCCAAAGTGAGTATCATTGAATAACTGTTGAGACAAAGTTGAGGGGATTACTAAGCAATGCTCACTGAGCCTGAGGTAAATAAATGTTTTAGGATGATTACTCTGGTGCTTTGTTGTTGAAATCATTCTGCAATGAAGGAAGCTTTGCTTTTACTTTGATATAATTGTTTCATCAACTGAGTATCAAGATGAGAAACTTGTTTCCACTAGAATTTAGCAGATTTATTTACTTTAATCAGCAAAAGCTTCATATCTTATTTGAGGAAAGTGTCACACTAAACTTAGTCACTTCTTTTGTGCTCTTTGGAATTCAATTTTCTCCTAGGGAGTTCAACAAGGTGATTATGGCAAAATATGCCAATCCTTGATCAATCAAAGTGCGAGAACCTATATAATCACCTGAACAGTTATACTAAAATCAGTTTTTAACATTTATCCAAAGATAATACAGTAGAACCCCACTCACTCAAACTCCCAAGGGAAAAAACAAGGTTCCAGGTAACAAGGGTTAGTAAATGACTGTGAAAGTGGGTCAAATCCAAGGGAAATCAGATCTTGTTTAAGTTAACAGGGGGTTCGAGTTAATCAGGTTAGAGGTAGCAAAGTTCTAATATAGAATATCCACTTACCCACTAAACTCATGAATTACCCTAAAAGCAATTTCTTTGCTGTTCATTAAGAAACAATGCATTCTCAAATTGAAAAAGTATCCACTTACAAATTCTTTATTTCCAATGAAAGATATGTTCAGATGTATCTGATATTATTACTTAAGGTATTCCTATCCCAACTCCTCAACATATAATTCTCACAGAGTTTGGAGTTGTTATAGTCTGACTCTTGGCATAACCTTTTTTTTTTGGTAGGATCAGAAGGATGATCACTACAACAAAAATTCTGTTTCGCAGAAATCATAACAAAATATTTACAATACTCTCTGTGCCTCAGTATCGCCAATTATTAAAAAGTATATTGGTCAGATACGCACATAGATTCTTTATGAAACAATAAAATTTCCGCACAGCTCCATACTACTGTAAAACAAATCTGTTTTCCCAGTGAAAATGTATTGTTTTTGTCATTGTTTTCTCTATCCAAGAACTGAATGCATAATGTAGTATGGGGCTGTGCGGAAATTTTACTCATGAAACTACAGATGATCTACGGTAGACTTGATTACCCTGGATACACGAGCACAGCACAGTCTTATTTGGAGTTGGCAGTGTTTTTACTGTAATTGTAAGGATAAGTGAGACAAAAATCGTGACCTCAAGCTCTCGAAGTTACTTATCGTTCACCAATAATGATAACAAACGTCAACTGGTTATCTTGATGATCAGATGAAGATTGTAGTCTGCAAATGAAGTGATCGGGTCTTCGATGTCATCACGTATCCCTCTCTAAATTCACCACTAATTGCATCCAGAGCAGGTCGATCATAGATAGTACATCTCTGAAAATGTCCAGATTCATTGTAGAAGCAAATATGAAAGAATTAAGATAAAAGTTCCAGGTATTGTTCCACTTGAAAATAAATACTGTTCCTCAACCTTGTTTCTGCTTGTGAGTTTTGTTCACTTTACAGATGACTCTTAGAACTCCTTTCCTCTTGACAAACCTGCATCCAGAACACATAAGCTTTAGGGCAGTACGTACTTTGTAATTTCGAACCACCATCAGGGTGTAAGCCACACCATGTTGCCGAAAACTGTTCAAAATTCCTCTTGGTATCGAATACATTCTGAGTTTCTTGTGAAAATATGGCGGATTCGACCTGACTCAGTAGCCAGGCAGTCAGTTTCAGTCCTCTTGACCGTGCGTGACGAGACAAGACGAACAAACAAACTTGTAATTAAAATAATTATTGTTATCGTGTATTATTTAACCCTCTATTTTTATGATCAAGGAGAGTTTGAATTTTTTGCATCAAGTACTCTGCGAATTCTAGGACCTCGCAACTTGCGTTTTTTTCCTCAAGGAGGAGAACCTAAAAGATCAATTCTTTTGAGTTCATCGGCAAAGGACAATGATCATAGGCGAGGTTTTGTAAAAAAGATAAAAAGTATGCACTGCATAACGACACGCAAGAAGGGACGAGAATGATAATTAAGAATTTTGTTTTAATAACGGTTAATTATTGTCTATTACGCAGTGATGTCACGAAGCTAATTGCATTTCTAAAATCATAATTATCACTTTTAGCCGGATTCCAGTCAAATCAAAACATTTTCTTTTCAATCGGTATTCACGATCGATTTTTAACAAAATGCAAAACGAAGGCAGTGAACCTGCAACGGACGGTCATGTCGATCCTGATGTGGGGAACAATTCTAAAAATGATGATGTTACCGGAAACGACGGTGAAGCGGTTGAAACAGAGTAAGATCCTTTCAAGAATGAAAATTGTAAACAATAGGCGAATTGCAGAGTAGTCCAGAAAAATTAACACCAACGAAACTATTACGAGGGACTATGATGGTTTAATCATGAAAAAAATTTTCTGTATTCTTGCCGCAAATTGATAAGCTTTTCGTTCATTATTCTTGTTTTTGATACATGATCCTTTTTCGCCCATTCCGGTTCTTGATATTTCATTGTATTTTCATTTTTCGGATCGAGTCACGTGATTTCACCTGACAACCACTAGCCTCCTTGGTTACCTTTCAGGAAGAGACGAATCACGTTGGCGGTAAACTTCAAGATGGCTCAGCCTCAGTACAAACTTGCTCGATTTGCAAAGTACGGTCCACCGCCCCTGACCCAAGAGCAAAAACTGAGGAAGGAGAAAGGTTTTGTTCTCGATGCTGTAGCGGTTAGCACTCTATCAGACGACTCCGGCCGAGCTAATCCGAAAATGGCGACCGCAATTCCACCGTACAATGCTCAAAAGGACAGGCATTCTAAAGGATATTTCGAAAAACCTGTCGTCAGAAAGCTTTTGAAAAAGACAGACCAGGTAAGAATGAGCCTCGTTTTATACTATGATTTCATTTTGACGTATCAGAAGTGGTTATGAGGTAGATAAACTTTTAGACTGTTTGTAAACAAATGCACTCTGTGAATAGCTAATTAAGACTTAGTGAACAGTACAGTTCGCACGCCTCGCAGCAACCCAAGAAGACTTCGCTAATTATCATAGAACAAATCAGTAAAACTTTCCAATAATACCTCTTTAACTACAGCAGTCAATATTGGTGTCAGTCTACAAAACGGAGAGCTTCGATGAGCCCTAAAACTTTTTCAACTGCGTGCAGGAAAATTCAATTTTGAGATGCTGATATTTTTTCTTTCGCATAGTTTACATTATTATCATTCTCGTTTTTCTGCCAGTTGAAACAAGGTTGACCTTAAAGCCCCATTAAACCATACTAACAACAATTACATCCGAAAACGATTAAGTTTCTGGAGGTTATTTCATGTAAGGTTTCCTTTAAATTTATATAAGTAAACAGAGTTTGCAGTGCTGTAAATAAATTTTAAATTGTGTCGGAGGGAATCCGGAATTACACTCGTTTGCTTTACTTCGATTTGTGGTTGATCTAGAAAATTCGCAACATCCTTTAAACCAAACTGGGACAAAAATAATATTGGTCGTAAAATTCGCCACATTATCCCATGATTTATTAGGTTACTTAATTGTGCTCTGTGTTCTTCCGCTTCTCTGATTTCCAGTCCTTTTGTTTTAGGAGTGTCCTGGTGACTCAATAGCAGGCAAGCAAATGGACAAATTCTATGACAAAGGCATGATGGGTGACTACATCAAACGCCGCAACAATGCAGGGGCTGGTAAGTTCACTACAGCCACCTTACAACAATGGCTGCATCCTTATAACAACTGCTTCTTTGTTTTTCATTAGCATTTTTATTTTTCCCAAAATTGAAAATGATCTAAACTTCCAAATTAAAGGATCACCTTACATTCCCATCACCCCCTCATGGCTACCTCTTTTAAGCAGCCTCTTCCCTCTGTCCCTAAATATAGCTATTTTAGACTTGGTTTTGACTGTATGCTTTTGAGAAATTTTTGGGATTGCTTGCTGTTATATTTTATAACTTACAAAAACATGTCAGTTGTGAAATTCACAAAATTGTTTTTGATACAGACAGTAATATTATAACTATGTCTAGTGCAAAGGTATGTGAAGGTAGTCATGTAATTTGAATCAGGGATTTTCAAATTGGTTTCCTTTTGATTTCCAATTGTCTTTGACTGGTTAGCATCATGATAACACTTCCAAAGAGCTACCCTCTGCAGGCTTTCATTTGTCAGTCTTTAAAAGGGTCTTGAGACTTAGATTTGGGAATTTTGTTGGATTTGGCAGCCCCACAAAATTTTTGGAATTTTAGATTTCTCTTGGAGTCAGATTTTTGTGAATTACTTCTTTTCAAAACTGAAATTTCCAGGGAAAAAAGATAAGACAGTTTACCCAGCTGTACTTTTTATATTTATTGTTTACATTATACTTTTTTGAGAAAAAGTTATCAGTATTGAGTGATACAATGATTTTTGTAATTAATTAAAATTAATTTTCATTTGTCCTCTACTAAAGGTCATTCAACAAGTCAAGTGGGAGGTCATGGTTTGTTCATGGAAAATATTCTCCCTCTGAATGGTTTCAATGGTTGTTTTGGATTTCGAAGAAACACTCCTTCGCTTCGAAACCACCCATCAGTTTTCATAGGTAAAATATTATTTTCATATTAATACTCTCCATTAACCCTTTACACCGTAACATTAGCAGCCATATTCTCTATACACTTTTATGAACATTTCCTTTGGTTCATACAAGGAGAGTTTGTCTCACAATCAAAGCTTCTTAGGTTGGCTCTCATTTCTTTTATTCTCATGACTGTAATGAATGATTTCTGCAGTATTACTTTAAAGAGAAATTAGATGCTCCTAGTGTTAAATGGTTAAGGTTATTCTATTAATCCTTCTCTTCTACATGTTCAAACACATTGTTTTGAGAATGCTAGTTTTTGCTTTCCTTTGAAACTTATTGATGGTTTGTCACCCTGCTCCTGAGTAATTTCATTTTCCCTTGACCGGTCTTTAATGATGAAGAGTCAGAGTATTTTTTTGTAACATGGTGATGATCTTGTCATAAAAAAAAACTAATTAAGGTGGCTGTGACAGCTTATATTCTCTGAGCATTTTCGCACCTGGTTATGAAGCTTTTGTTTTAAAACTGTTGTCAAACCTTTTTTCCTCATGTCCACTTCTAAGTGCACATTAAAGATGTGTCTTAGCACAGGTGGCCTAAGCTCCAGCTGTGAGATGATTGTCTTGTGCAATAAGCATCATGGTGAAAATATAAGAGTTTGTGGGGGGAATATTTATGACTGCTCTTGGGAATACAAAAATACAAATTCTCAATAAAAATACCTCACCTTACTTTCACAGTGCATCGCATCTTATTTGACTGCTTACTATGTTAAAAAGAATTGAACCCATTTCAGCAAGTTATCCATTTCTAGGTTTACTACATAAAAGAGCTTCTCTTGTGTGGTAAACCTAGAAATGGATAACTCTCTAAAATGGGTTCTTTTCAACAGAGTAAATAGTCAGATAATAAGGAATGCACTGTGGATGTAAGGTGAGGTATTTTTATTGAGAATTTTACTGTATTTTTTTATTCCAAAGAGCAGTCGTAAATATTCCCATACAAAGTCTTATATTTTCACCATGACGCTAATTGCAAAAGATGATTGGTTCACAGCTGGAGCTTTAGCCACCTGTGATCTTAGGAACTCAGGGGTAACAGTTATCTTTGGTTGTTATCTAATCATTGGGAAGGGAGGGGTCTTGAAAAGGATATTGTTGGTGAGAGTACTGGTGAATGACATTTTGAAAAAACGAGTTTAAGTCCTCTTAAGAGTCAAGTAAAAGTGTAACAGCAGCTGCCTTTGATTCTGATGATGAGGTACTCTCTGCTTGTTGCAAAAGTTACCTCAGTTTCTTTCACCAACAATTCTTTTTAGAACATTATTCAAACAAGCTTGCTCAGAAGAAGAGATCCAGTCCGTTAACATACTATGTTTTCTTTACCAAATGTCCATTTAAGCTATTTCAAATTTTGCTTTGTGTCATTTTGTTTTGGACAGGGAAAATTGATAGCCGCTCAGTAGTTCCATGACAAGGTTGTCGCAATCTCCAAGTATCAAGAATAAAGAGATATCTGGTGTGCCTAACCCAAGGCATAGAACTGGTATACATTTGATGCCCATGTGTGAATGAGTTTCTATTCATAGTAATATATTTATTGATATTTGTATTTCAAAGCTGTTCAATTGGAAAGCAGCAATGTCCAGCACAACTCAACTTTGCAAGATGGTTTCTCCAAGGAATCAGGCAATTATGGACTTCTTTAATCTGTTACTGGCCAAATATGTTGGAGTGTTGGAGTGACTATAAAGAATTCTGTGCAGTGGAAACTTACCCAAGTTCAAGTTTACTTTTACAGAGCTCATTAATTCCCTGGTTGTCCCTGTCAGTGTAAAACTTCAACATATTATGGTTTCTTGGCCAAATACTTTGTCTGCTTTAACAATGATCTATGCAGCATAACCCTTTTGAACATCTCAACCCCTTCCCCCCCATGAGTGACCATCCAGTAAAACTTCATGTAAACTTTAAGGCTGTCAGGTAATAAGAGTTAAGACAAGTCTGAAAAGAAAGTTATGGAAATCTGGGTTTGGATAATTGGCTCTCAACTCTCCAATCTGGTTGCACAGTGATGGTCTCACTCCTTAGGCCGGTCAAGTGGACTACCAGAGCCTGAAATACAATGGTAACATTTTGTTATGATTTAGAGTTAAAATAACTAAGAACATTGAACCATGTAACATACTTCCTGAACAACCATTAGTACAGTGTCTGGCCCACAAAGATCCTGGAAGCAGCCACAAAGTAAAATCAATGCTGCTTTGAAGTTAATGGCCTATGTTTGTACTGCACGCTACACCATCTTAACTAATTTTCATAAGTATCATGCCACATGGTTTGGTAATTTTTTTGTAAAAAAAGTGTGGGGAAAAAAATAAATGTATTGCTAACATTTGAGCATCAAGGTTGTTGATTGTTCTCTTAGATCTTTTGTATGGCCAGAACTTGCTGGGGAGGTTAAACTTATCAAGTTCTCAAAACAAGAAGGGTGACCTTAAATCGTCCTATGAACTGGGTAAATAGTATCTCCTTTTTGCAAAAAAAAGATGAAGAGAAATTCTCATAACAGACATTGGGTAAGAATCAACAGGAATCTTTAATAGTATTACTACCCTAACAGTTAATATCCAAAGATGTGGAGGCTGAAGAGAGGGAGGAAAATACAGGTAATTACAACTTTATAAAACAAACAGGTGGTAAATTTTGCAACTTTATGACAAAAAGTTGAAGTGTAAACTATGACATTAAAGTTCATAAAAACTGTCTTTGCTGCATTAGGGAATTTACCATTCACAGCTTAAAGCTTAATTCACAATTGTGTGCAATGGTACAAAAGTATGCATATTTGTCGTCAAAGCTATTGATTGTCACTCCCACATGTAGATTTCTGTGGCACTGTAACTACAAATTAAATTTTGAAGGCAATTAAATTTGCCTCATGTCAAGAACGCAAGATTGAAATCTTTGATACATCACCAGAAAATTAAGCTTGTACAGTAAATCCTTTGACCCCAGAGGGTGACTAGTGTCTAATCTATAGTGACAACATCACCCCTGAATTTCACCTTAAGATGGTGTGAGTAAGGAAAATGATCACCAACTATGAAGCTCTTCATTGTCTAAAAATTCTCTTTGTCAGCACCTTAGGAAATGAAGAGAGAACAGTTTGGAGAAAATGCGTACCGATGTTAAAGTATAAAAGGTTAATGGCAGGTTCAATACCACTGCATTTAATTAATGAGTGTTGGATGTTTTATAGCCAATCAACTTCAGCTCAACCATCCTATTCACAGGAGACATAAAATGGGAATTCATCTCAACAAGAAAAAAAACAACAACTAAACATCTTGATTCAAGACCAAATTCTCAGAGCTAACCTTGGAAGAAATGTATGGCAGACAACGCAGAGAATTTGTATTAAAATCTTGAAAATAAAAGAATTAAGTACTCAGTAATATCTTAAATAGTCATTATTGCATCACAAATATACTTTGTATAAAATGATCTATTTCTACAGAGCAACGCATTTTGCACTTTATATTATCTGATTGTCCTATAACACATGAATTTCACTTTCCAAATACTCAGGCTACTAATCATTACAAAGAGTGGTTTTTTTCATAGGATGTTTTCTACAACCCTCCCCCCCCCCTTCCCCTTCCCCCTACACATATTATCCATGATTTGCAGCACATTTAGTTGTGAGTGTTTTCCCAAGGAACTAATTCTGTACCCTTAGTGGTCTCTATAATTTTAATTTGTTAACAGGAGACCAAAAACAGTCAGGCTCTTTCCATTGACAACTGGCCATTCCATAAATGAAACAGAACAGTCTTGAGAACTGAGATAATTGGGCTTTTGTTCAGACTATGTCTAAAATGTGTGGGGTGCCTTTGTGTTCCATATGATCACAAACAATTGGCACAAATTTACATATGGACATCTGCTTTTCCTTTACACCCTGTTTCTTTCAAGTTGATCCAGCCCTAGTGAAAGAAGACAGTCCTTGTTTTTGATCAGTCTGCCTACATCTAAACTTAAAATATGGACATTGCACTTCCAGTTGCTTGACCTCTAGAGTTCTGACACATTTCTAAGTACCTCTCTTCCTCGCGTAGAGAGTTCAATAAAGTATTCATGTCATTAACTACCATGTTTCCATTTCCGACAAATTCTGACACACCACCATTTTCAGTGGATAGCAATCCCATCCCTGACACCATGGCATCTATTTCATGATTTGCCATGTCACACTGGGTCTTCTGAGCAGGGGTCTGTTCCCCTGAAGTACTATATGCTGCATTCTCTGAGGCTGGGTAAAAGCCACCACTGACATCTGGTACACTAAGTAGTTGCTCACTTCTGTAGCTGGACTGTGGCCACTGCACTTGTTGAGAATTTCTCTGAAGGCACGGCTGTGGTCGATGATGCACAGTCTGTAAACTGAGTTGATGGGGTTGCTGAGCTGCCTCTTGTTCTTCAGGATATGGGTAGTGGCGCAATCGTTGTGTCTGATGAGGTTGGGAAACTGACATAACTTGACGTACTGGAGGAGGATGCAAGGGAGGAGTTGGTTCCAACTGCCCTTGCCCTTGTCCATTTAGATATGCATCAAACTCTTGTGGATCTACATCCCCACAAATAAGCTCTGTTTCATTTACGTTTGGCATTAGCATCACTTGCCTGTTGACTATGCCATTTAGAGGCTCCGGCCTACTCATATGTGCTCTTGATTGCCTGATTGGTTCACTACTACGGCGCAGCTCACTTTTTCCATTTTGGGGCAAGTAACCCCCAGAACTATCTGCCTCGCATATCACAGTGTCACTTTTCCTTCTGTTTGCAGCATTGTTGCAGTTATTTCTTTGTGGGAGTAAGTGAGAGGAGGGTGGGATCTTGTGGAAAATGGGACTACGAATAACTGCTAAGTTTGACTGACTTCCATAACCACTACTATTACGGCTCAGTCTGTTGTAAGGTGCACTTTGATTGCTGCAAGTGCTTGTCTCACTGGTTCGACGAAGAGTGTCATCACTACTATCAAAAGGATGTAAATTTGGTCTGCAATGAAGAGGAGTCATACCAGTAGGTACAGGTGGAGGACACCCACTTGGATAGTGCGGTATAACCTCTTGAGGTTGAATATTTGTGGTTGGAAAGGGGCTAGCCAGGCTAGATCGATGACTGCCATAAGAAGACCAACCACTTTCTTGGCTAGACCTTCTGCTTGCATCACCAAGCTCCACAGATAAATGGCTGCCATCACTTGATCTCCGTGATGTTTGGCTCATCCTGCGGTGAACATCACTCACCCACTGGGCAACGTCCCTTTTGTGAACATCGATTTTTGGAAGATTGACACTCGGTGCTGGTGGTCTGACCTCTTGTGCAGTAGTCACAGCACCGTTCTCTCCAGGTTCCCAGTCTCCTTCTATGATATCTGGAAGTTGGCTTACAAATGGAGGACTTCTTGGCGACACCCCCAACATGGAATTGCCCATGTTTCTTGGACTCTCCCGGCTAGATGGAATGTCAAGGCCTCCTGGGGTTCTCTCACAGCTTGAAGAGACAACATCCCCATCAAAGCTACTGCCTACAATTGTTTGGGAGCAGCTTCCAGCTTGAATCACACTACCTGCACTACTTGATCCATCTTGTCCAGGTGACATGGGTTCTTCGACATGATTGCTCATTGGCTGTGATGCTTGTGTACCACTGCTAGAAGTGTTGGAGCCTTGGCCTTTGTCAGAAGATAAATTACCTTTTTTGTCAGAATTGGGTTGTGGCTTTTCTCTACTGCCTTCCGCTTTTAGCTGTTGTTACAAAAGAAAGGAAACAACGATAAGTACATTGATGTTACAAGATGTTCAAAATAAGTCTCAGACTGTTATAGTTACATTCATTTAAGATTCAGCAGTGAATCCTTTTTTACAGTCCATACTATATGCAATCCCAGGTATGCTCTGGAGACACTGTTTTGCACAGAAATTTACCAAGTCCATTTTTTATTGTTTAGATTGAAAGAAGGAGGGTGTTGCCAACAAAGATTGCATTTAATAAGCATATGGTCAATCAGAAATTCTTCTTACAGATAATAAAATAGTGACTTTTAGAACAGATAAGAGTGATACTAAACCAGCACCTGACCTAAATTATTGTACCAGCAGGTATACAATTCACAAAAGATAAAGGTCTCCTTCTGAAAATTTTGACCTGACTTGAGTTCTTGCAGTTCTTTGATTTAGATTTCAGAAAGTTCAGAAGAGGTTGTCATATTTACCCTCTTAATTCCTTGTTCTCCATGGACAGTTTTTGTATGTTTCCTCAGTGAGCTGGGATCTGTGTACCTCTTTGGGCAGCCTGGTACCTTACAGACATAAGGTTTCTATAATAGCAAGTACATGCATGTTATTTTTTTCATCTAAGTAAGTCCATGTCATGATAAATTTGTGAATTTCTGAGTAATGATTGAGATTAAAAAAAGCGCTATAAATCATTTTTAAAGTGTATAGGGTCTGCTTACCACAGAAGAATGTGTCCTGTTTTGATGCTTGGCTCTGTCAGAAGCATTAGAGAAAGCTTTATTGCACCCTTCCACTTCACAAACATATGGCCTCTCCCCAGTATGTGAACGGAGGTGAGTTTTGAGATTCTCAAGTCTGGAGTAAGCCTTGTTGCAGCCTTCATACTAAAGAGAGAATAGGATTGTTTCAAGACCTGTTACTTTGACTTAGAATATTTCTAACAATAGTGAGCCCATTACATACATTTTATAGAGCAATTTTTCCTTTGGTACTTTGAATGACCACAAAGTAATTACTCCTTCATATCGATGCACAATTGAGTGAAAGGTGATCAGAACAGAGAAAAACATCAACTTCCTATATGGAAGGTTGAATGATTGCACAGCAATTTTTTTAGAACTAATATTTTAAGAAATGTATGGCTGACAGGAAAGAGAAGGAATATCAAGATCTTTGAAGTGAAAGGGAAGTGGACGGTTATTTCAGTCATCTCCTCATTGGACAGCCACTTCGTACAAACTTACAGTTGATAGCAAAGTGGACTGTTGACCAAATAGTCCAGTCTGGTTTTGGGTGAGAAAACTATTAGTGATTAGGAGGGTGTGTGCATGAGAAGTTGTTCCTCTTACTGCTTGAACACTGTGCCATTCTGGTTTAATTGTAGACTGTATAAAGCCTACAAGATCATTAAACAGTGTAATTAAATGCAGTAAGACAGAATAAGAATAATCATCATCATCAGAAGTAAGACAGAATAAGAAGAATTTCACAGACGTGGAATCAAGGGGAATTGGTGGAAAATAGGGTAAATGTTGTCTGACCTTACCCTACAGACAAACAATGGTCAATTAAGATGAAATTTTCCACATAAACTTGAATTGGCACCAGTTAAAACTAATTTGCTGAAATGTAGGTGTGCAAGTGGGCCTTGTGGCACACTGTTATATATCAATTCATGCAGCACTTAGTGTAGACAACAGTTTTGGGATAGAATCTCTGTTTAGACTTACAGTGCATTTATGTGGCTTCTCCCCTGTGTGACGTCGCATGTGTACCACCAACATGTACTGGGCTTTAAAGGGTTTCTTCTCTCTGGTGCAGCCATCCCAGTAGCAAGTGAAGTCCTTGCGATCTTTCTTGATGTGGTCAGTGTTGACATGTTTGACCAGATCATCCTGTGTTTCAAACAGCTTTTGACATTCCTTCCAATGGCAAGTCAAATCTCGCTCTTGATCCTGCTCTCCTTGATTCTCTTCTCCTTCATTGTCTGAGCCTTCCTGCTGTTATGTAAAAAATTGGTCAAGGTTAACTCCCAAGATCTCATTAGTAACCCTTCTTATTGTCTGCCATATAGTTCTTGTGATGTTAGTTTGGAGAATTTGTTATTGGATCAACTAAGAATCCCCAAATTAATATTTTCTCTATTCTCATCACTTGTCTGCTTGATATTGTAAGAAGAAATTCTGTCTTCCTCACTCATGGGAGTTAAAGGGTTAAAGTGGCCCACAAACAAAGTCTGAGAATAAGAGAGGAGGACCCCAGTGCATACAGAATTTCATTCTGGTTACTGGAAAACTGTGATATGTCTCAAACTCTTTGTTCCCTGATTGTACAACTTTACATTTCCACACTGGATCCCTCAATTAACCCCTATTGTATGCACATTATCAAAAGTAAAAATTACACGAAGAGCTGTGTCCACATTAACTGCAAAATTGAACTGACTGTCAGATAACTCTTTAAAGATTCATCTTTCATTCTCTGCTCTTACAGCAATTTTATTTGATATGTTTTGTTTTTTCCCAGGACTACATGAGGGATCACATTGCAATTTAATTAGATACAAATTTCAAATATTGCAACTCTGTGCATGCCAAAGAGTACTGGATAAGGTTATAGAAATTACTACAGCCTGAATTTTTACATTTATGATTAACCTAGACTGCTTATCACTGAGCCCAAAGATACACATATTCCAGTTGTCTAGCTTTCACAAAAATTGTGGGAAGTATGAGTTGATCTAACTGATCAAGCATTGGGATCTTACCAAAAGCTTAAAGTAGAATTGATCAGCTGAATGTGTAAATGTGTGTTCTCTGATTGGTTTAGGATTGCATCATATCTTGCTACATAAAACATCTGAGATACTACATACAAACACCCTGAATTCTGAAAAACCTATGCTTTATAGAAAATTTTTCCTTTTAAAGTTTATTGTATTAAAACAATAGAGAGCCCCCTCTAAGGTTTTGATGGTTTGTAGCAACCCTCTTGGGATGCTGGCAGAACCCCTAAAAATTTGTAAATCACTCATTTCAAGCTGGTGATTCACAACATCTTCTCATGTTCTCCCAATAACCCAAGTGGGTTATTAGGATGGCAAACCAATAGAGAGTGTAATCTGTTGCAGAACACTTAAATGTTCACAGCTGATGATAGCAAGGGCATTTAACTTATCAGTCTGAATTGATTGAACTTGCCTTCTTGGTGGACATTTTCAGCCTGTTAAAACTCTTTCATGCAAAGTAATATTAACATGACCATTATAAATTATCTCCTTTTATACAGTTTCTGCTTCTGTAACATGCAGTTCATAGAATGACTGTGTCATCTACCCATCAATCCCCATGCTTCTGTAAGATAGCAGTCAAGTTGGAATTGCATACAGCTGGGATTGAATACAGTATGAAATTTAAGAAAGACTTGCTTATGAGCTTTTGATTGTGGTGTATGACATGAGTCTGCTCTCTTGACCTTATGAACTTGTAATCCTTGCTACACCATGATCTGTTGTATTCCTTTCTTCCTGGACCCTTTTTTTCAACATCTAATCCTTGCAGTATCTGATCATTCCCTGACCAATGGCAACCAAGCTACGTCCATTAACTTCTCCTATGCTTCTCTCAAAATCTAAGATAGATTAACTGGTCTCCATTCCAAGTTATTTATCCCATCCTCATTGCCACTGTGGCATATAGCATCAGAATAGACTTTAGGCGCAAAGAAAAACTCAGCAAAGGTTTATTTTTACACAATATGTTGACAGCTGTGAAACATGAAAATGAGGCTGACAAGCAACAGCATGAAGACTTACGTCATACACCACATTAATTAGAGTGAATCTTTTAGTCTGATAATCACCAGAACAATAACTAAACAATTACCAGTAATCATCTCAGGCTCAATGAATTCTGTTGGATACTACCCATTGTAGTTGGGAGGATTATCAAACAATATTCACTTTGTCTATAGCAAATAATTTTATAACATAGCTAGTAAATTTGTCCAATCAAATTCAATTGCATGAGCATGCTTCATATTCCTATTGTGCACACTCATGACGTCAGCAAACAAATCCCTCAAGAAAAAAATTCTCTCTGTGATTTTTACTTTGGGATTTCACTATTAAAAAACTGGTTGAGACTTATATGTTTCTGAATATTTATACCATAAAAGTATGTTTGAAATATTCTTTTGTGTCGATAATGTGAAAACCTTTTGGAACCTTGCAATGCCTTCCTAGATTTGTTTGTAAGTCAGACTTTCTGTCACACGAAGCTAGGATGTGGCCTGTTGTGAATTAGCCGATGAAACAGCATCTTTGTTTTTCTTTGGATAAAAGAATTTTGTATTCAATCAGAAAATAAAGTTCATTTACACGCATGAATTCACCTGTCAGTTTTGAGCAAAATGTTTTCCTGAAACTGAAGCGTAGCAGAGGGAATATTAACCCTTTTACAACATTTAAACATTGAAAATGTTATAAAACAATTGGTTCATATGTCAGCTGTGTGTTCATCGAGATATGAAGCACTTGGGAAGTTTGGAGGGCACTCAAGAAGCTAGAGTTGCTCTCAGCTACGCCTCGAGCAACTCTTACACATCTTTCATGCTCTCCAAACTTCCTGCGAGATATGAAGCACTTGGGAAGTTTGGAGGGCACTCAAAAAGCTAGAGTTGCTCTCAGCTACGCCTCAAGCAACTCTTATGCATCTTTCATGCTCTCCAAACTTCCTGTGTGCTTCATATCTTGATGAACGCATGCTGACATATGAACCAATTGTTAAGTTGAATATTCTTGGTGACAAAAACTCCTCATGGATAAAACAATCAGCCTATTTGAAAATAAGGCAATAAATGATGGAATTAGAGCTACACAAAGATATATGGAATGGAAATAATACAAGATTTATGCTTTCAAGACCTTGGGTTCCACATTTACTATCTCATGCGCAAGATACAGCTACAGATTTAATGAAGCCATATTTTTTCAGAAATTATGTTCTTCAATTTGAGCACAACTAAAAAAAAAAGTAGTCTGAGACAAATCACACTGAACCAGTCTTTAAACAAAACATAATGTGGGAGGATGGTCCAATTGTCAAAATCTAAAAAATCAAAATATTGACATAGTTAGAAATAGAAATTGTCACAACAGGATTAAATTGAACAGTCAAACAGGTCATAAAATCAGTTGGATTACATGAGCAGGTTGCATTTTTAACTTTACAACTCCTCTTTTTTTGTTTAATTGTATCAGGAATTTTTTGTTCAGTTATGTATCTTTTGGTAGGTTTTGCTTTTGTTTTCCTGTGGATCAACACTAAAGAGCATTCTTGACGGCTAGCCAATGCATAATACAATGATGCCTTATTATCTTTTAAAACCACAAGACGAACATGTCTTGTTCCCACAGTTCTCTTAATCTTTTTTAGTTGTCTGCTAGTGGTTTCTCCATAACAGCAAATACAACAAAAGGGCTTAGGTTTTTTAATTGGCTTTGGCAAAGGTTATCAGCGCAGTTTTTGCCACAAAATCTGCAGGGAGGATCACAGAGATGACAGTCCATCCTACAGCTAACACAGACATAAGATTTCATTTCTTTTACAAGATTGTTACCATCCTTCCCACTAAAGGAAAATTGAAAATTCATCTGGAAGGCACATATTGAGAAGCAATTATTAATGCCCCCTGATAAGTAGGGTTTGATGACCTGTCAAACCATGTTATAGATAAGAATTGTTCTTGCCGCCTGTGGTTGTGACCAATAAAAAGAACTATTGGCCTAAAAGCAACATGTACATTGACTTTATTTTGATGATTATCTGCAGACTAAGTAATCCTTATTGAAATCACAGTCTGCCCAAATATTAAGATTTGCATCATCACATGTCTGCAAATTTACCTGCCGTATAAACTAAAAGAAAGACATGATACCATCCATGAAATACATTGTTTAACATAACAGAAAAAGAAAACTTGTTGTTATCCGGTATGTCAATCAAAAATTGGAAATTTGAAAAACTGTCACGATAAGCTTATTCATTTGAATAAATAAACTGTACTTATTTTGGTTATCACTACTGATACACTACACTGATTCATGCAGACAGGAAGAGAAGGAAAAACAATTTTGCTACTGCATGTGTTCACATGTGATTCAAAGTCTGTGGGTAGCACAGTTGGATGTCAAAGCTAAAGGTTACAGCAGAAGGGATAAACTCAATTATTTCAACCACAAACATCTTAACTATGTCCTGATTATCTTATTGTAAATTTGTGATCTTTGAGCACTAGCATCGAGGCAAAGTAATTTTCAGCCTGTTATCATACAAAATAAAAAAAACTATATATCACTGTTCATTTACAGCCAAATGCAATTTGCAATTGAAGTTGGCAAAAACAAGTCTCTCAACCAAAAATTCACACCCTTTGAGAGAAATGTTTAGAATTTGAACATAACTTTGTTTCTGTTCAAGTGATTTATATTCCCTGTTGGTTTGGCCTTGTAAATATTCATGATATCTTCTAGACCGTTACTGTTCTGCTGCTTTAAAAATTAGCAAACAGGACAATATTTGACACAATTCACTGTTTACTCTTTAAAAACCACCCAACAACATATGTTATTGTGGTGGCAAGGAAATTCTACATGTAGAATGTATTCAAAACATATAATAAGATGGTAATTATAACCAAGAAAAAAAATTTTTTTTCCAAATGTAGCCTCATCTTAGATACAGAAAAAAGAGAATATGGTTGGATTAATTCTGTATTGCCTTGTTTGACTGATTCATCCCATAATTGATAAGTCATAGTTGGTTTGTGAAAATCGGAGTCCATATGAAATACATCTCACAAATTAAGAGCCACAGCTGTAACTTATTTATGAAATGAGAAAATAAATCTGATTGCTGTCCTAAGTTAAGATTCTTCTTCTATCAAAAAAAGCTTGTCATTCACGTAAAGCTATTAAGAAGTGAACACTGCAAAAAGATATATCCTAGTTAATGCAAATAATTGCCATGCTTGTAACTAACATGCAAGTACACATTGACAGGTTACATTTATAAGAGAAAAAAAATGAATAAATGGATACATGTATGAAAGAATCAGTAAATAAAGGAGAAAAGTGGTGGCTTTAATGAAACATGAAAACAAAACTTTCTGACTTAGGAGAGAGGACTACCAGGGAGGAAGTTACATTGTCCAGCTGTGGTGTAAAAAGAGATTATTATTAACATTAATACCAAACTGTACCCTACCTTCACTTCTGAAGCACCAGGTGATGTTGTAGAGTCAAGAGGACAAACATCCATACTTTCCTCCTTACAGGAAGTGCCCTGTGGTTCTTTAGCCCTAGACACCTGTGATGACTCAGCACAACTCATGCTTTCAGACATTTCTTCCTTGGTTCCTTCAGCTCCAGTTGTTGAGCTGGGCAGTGCATCTCGACTTGTTGAAGATGGTGTTGGTATTCGAGGAGTGGCAATAGGTGGGGGTGTGATGAACACAGTTCTTGCAACAGGATAACAACTAGCTTGGTGAGATCCAGGAGAGGTGCAAAAACCAATGGGACTCAAGTGACCAAAGGAACCTGCTGAAGACACCCTTGCTGGACCAAGGTACCCTGATAAGGAATCTGGTGAGCCTCGAATTAATGCGTTCAAGTCAATAGATTCAACAGATGATGGGGTATTGGAATGTGCCCGTTTCCGACTAAGTTTTGCTGACAGCCTTGGGCTTGGAAAGCTGGAATGTGGCAGGTCAATAACTGTAGACCGCAGAGATGTCGCAGTGGATGGTGGCCCTCCATACTCAGATGCTGGATTTCTGTGCAGATTTGCCAGATAGTCCGATGGTATCACAGGTTTAACAAAAGGCTGATAACCAGGGGGCCATTCTGCTTTGGGGCGGGCAATATCAGAGTCAGTGTGTCTTCTCTCACGGGAACTGCTTAGTGGAGGTGCAACTCCATGCATGGAAGGAGGATTTGGATAAAATGCATCTGGGTGATGGTAATGATAAGGGCGGTAAGGTGAATGGGGATGGGGAATGGGAGATAGATGTGATGGTAACACAGGGCTTGGAGGATGGCTATGCCAGTGAGGTGTTCGTCCTGGGTAATAGTGGTTTGCATGAGGTGGAGCTGGCATAGAGGGAGGTGGATGATGAGGGGGTGGATAGTGCATGTCATATGGGTAGTACTCAGGATATGGTGCTGCATGATAAGGGTGGCCTGCACTCCATGACTGTGTGTGCCTGTGGTTGTATGGTGGATAGCCATGCGGTCTTCTGCTCTCAATAGAGGAAGTCCTATTATTAGTTGGTTCCCTGTGGTTCACATCAAACGTTGTTTGGGTTTCCTGATCATGAGCCCGATGAACGGAATCTATCTCCGGTTTGGACTCATCCATGCTTTTTCAAATGAAGCCAAAACAGTCCTTCAAAAATGGCATAAATTTTTCAAACAAAAGCTTTCTTTTCGGAAAGAAATCAATTCAAGTTCAGTATCTGTTAAGGACGCGACAGGCGTTGCGTGGGTCTCGGACGAAATGTCTCGTTCTCGAATAACTCGCAAAGTGGGATGCGGCGCGAAGCCCAAAACGAGTTAGCGCATCGCACGCGTAAAGTTCATGCTTTCCACGATTCCTTGATATTCCGCATGTAAATGAGTGCCGTCTCTTTCGCGATAAAACCTTTGCTCTTTTTAGCCTTACGAATCCACTGCCCTCACGTCATGGTAACTGTTGACGCCAGAACAGTTCAAGCACCCTGAAAAAAATACACAAAGAAACTGTACAGGAAAATTTACTTACATATTTAGCAAGAGTGGGAATGATACAACTACAGCTACAATAGAAACATACTCACAGTGATCAAGCAAGGAAACAATGGCAGTGCTCACCTGGAAAAACGCAGACAGTTTCTAAGAATACTTGGCGGACAAATCAATCAAACTGTCCCAAATTAGAATATTGTCGGACGAATGTGCTCTTGCTAACCGCGTAAAATCAATTGGGCGAGGGGAAAGACGTCCGAAAGAGCCACTCTTAGGACGCGCGGCAATTTTCTCACTGTCACGAAAATTCACAAGACAATAAAGATTCTGCGAATGCATTCCTTATGATTTAGAAACACGAGTATCAGTTTTCTCAACCGCAGGAGAGCGTGGGTCATCACCGTCAAAGGAAATCGGGTTTTCTTCAAGATTGCGAAAGCTCTGACAGGTTACCGCATAACTTTATTGGTTTAACTAATACAAAGGCCATTCAAAAATATTTAAACCAATCATATCGGCGGATTTCCGCAATGCGAAACCCTTAGGTTCAGGATAGATGTCGGTCAAACGTTTGATCAGAGACAATTACGCTCTCGAGTTTGCCGATGATAAAGAAATCAACAAGATGTTTATTACTGTAAACACCTATGCGAAAAGGAATGGACATTTCGTTTACGCTCGGAAGGAGAGGAATTTTATGTTTTAAAAGTATTTTCGTTCGACCACTGCTGGGAAAGAATTTTTGATGAAGATTGCTCGAAGATGCTCTTCACCCCTCGTTCAAGATTAAAATAGGATGATCTGAAATTTGTACCAGCAGGTGTTGGAACATCTCAGCTGTAGAATTGACGAATGGACGATGTAATAGCGCACAGAGCATTCTAATGCAATCCTAGAGAATCAAACCCAAACACTCTCAAGATTAGAGATTGTTGATTTTTGAAGATTAGAAAACAATCTCGTCTTTATTTCCGTTCGTGTACTTGCGTATGCAGGCTCTTCAAAGTTCCTGTGGAAGGAAGTCCTTAAAACATACTCATTCACCCAATAAGTTCCCTCAGAATATGCTCACCTGAAAGGTGAGTTGCTGTCAACATTACGATACAGAGCAGAGCACTTCAACGCGTTTAGTTTCGGTTTCTTTGTGTCAGATCAAATATCAAATATTTATCTCGCCAAAATACTTGAAAGCTATAACAGAGTGGAAATGAATACGTGCTCTGTAGCTCGTTGAAGAAGGATTAATTTTGAAGTTGATGTGCTCATTTGTGATGTTTGCCAGAGATAAAGCCACAAGGTCTGCTGTAATGGGCTGGTGAATTCAAGAAACGGAAATCGCAGTAGTGGTTCAAGCTCCATGTTAAAATAGGACATCGCAAAGTCACGAAAACTAAGCTTCCTGTTGGCAATAAGGATGTCAATTGAAAAGATAAAGCATATAGCTTTACTTCTATACAGGCAGTAAGAAGATAAATTGGGGCTAATTCGGGAAGTGATCGCGAATTTTCTTGTATATTTGTTTACGTGGCCGATAGCGTGACTTTATAGCGCGGCTGGGAGGGGAGGGAAGGGTTCGTGCGCTCTCCGTTCAAGAAGTTTTTATGCTCGAAAATTTGAGTATTATGCTTTTAAGCGTCACCTCTGAAAACATGACATCAAGCCGAAAATTCTGCGCAAAATTTTCCATCGTGTTCAACTTGATAATTCAAAGTAATAGCTTTTAAGAGCCCCCAAACCTCTCCCCTCCCCCCCTCCCTCCTCCCCCTTTCCATCCCTACCATCAAAAGGTGAAACTTCGTAAAGATAAAAAGTTACCGAAGTTCACAGCAAAAAATTTTACTGGATCAAATTCCTCAAGTGCAGAAAAGAAAAGCTGGCTCATTGTTGACATTGGACAGGTTATATATCCCTTGTTTGAACTGTAACATCAGGAATTTTGTATAGTTTAGTCATTATGCCGGCATAATGCTCGATTTTTTTATTATATAGGAGGGTCCCAATGGGAGTAAAAAAAGCCAAAAAATTTAGCCGTTAGGCGTAAAAATTGACAAATCTTAGTCGTACTTAAAGTTAACCGTGAAAATTTGTCCTATCTTCAATGCCATTTTGGGTCAACTGTTAGCCGTTAAATGGCCAAGATTTTTTCACCGACATCACCCCATTGAGACCCTTCTAAGAAACATTATGCCCAAAGTCATGCCGGCTTAATTTATCTGACCCTGACTATGAAGGAAGAAAACCGACACCTCTCCAGCTCCATTCTTAGTTTCCAAGAAAGATCCCCAAATTAGAATCATACCAAACTGCACGTAAATCGCAGGAAGCTCTTGAATTTGATAATCAATATTTGACTCGTTAATGATATTACGATTGCCTGAACTAAAGTAATCCCCCTTTAAAAATAATGGCAACAATGAAGAATTATGAACACTCTTTCATGAATGCTTTCGTTTGTTTGTTTCTGATGGAGGAGAGATTGTGGTTCATGCAAGTTTTTTATTCTGTCCAAGATTTAAAGTGAGATCAAAAAACATCAACAGCGCAAGTTAAACTCTTTCGTCCAAACAGCCATTTTGACACATTGAACTTAAAAAGAGCGCGTGAAGCCTTGTGGGGTAGCATGGAAATTTGTGAGTTTGTCATTTTTGGGATTTTTACAGATAGTCTTCGTTTCGCAAAAAAGGGAGAACCGAGTGAAATAAAATTTCGTGAAATTTTCCTAGCTTCAGCCAAACACAAACTCAACAAGCAAATTATATATAAAATTAATGCCCAAGTTTTTCATATGGACTTATTCAAAACATCCACCCACGACTTGTACACCTGCTACTTACCTCTAGCCTCTGCCCTCGTTATAACCGTAGAGAAGTTACAGAATTGAAAATAAATATATTGAAAATTTTCCCTGAAGTTTATGTTCTTTGCTTGAACAGAATAACGCAAGAATATGCCAGTTCCCTACAGAAATTTCAGGCATCTGGAATAGGAGAGACATTTGTTCCTACAAAACGTAAATTATCTCCAGTTATTTAAATAAACTCTCAGCCTGCCGCAAATTTATCATAATACCCGAAAATGATATAGATCCAAAGACGTGAGACCATTCCGAATTAATCTATCCCCATAGATGCTAAGTAATTTTAAACATCGTCTAAAATAATGTTTCGGTTATGGAAAAACATCTATGAATCATTTCCTCTTCTTTTTCGCGTCCGACTAGGATTAAAAATAGAAACTATAGCCAAGAGAATATAAATTGCTATAACAGTTTAATGTCGCAATCATTCTTTCTTTAAAGAAACGAGCGCTTTTATTGTAGTAGGCTTGAGATGTGAAAGCGGGGAGTATCGTTAGGGAGGGTATATTCTACCACGTAATGCGTTTAATAAACCAATCGCGTGCGAGCAAAAATATTTGATGGATCACAACATTGCTCATCATCAATATGGTGGAGGATCTTTGATAATTTTTCTACCCTGGTTAAAACAGGCACTCAGAGAATCAATCCGTTAGTCTTACCCAGGAGCTCATTACCTGAGATTCTGATTTACCTCAGTTACTGAAGTGAGACTAAATTTAGCCTGCATCTTTCAGGTTTCCATTTTTAAATGGAAACCTGGTTATTTAAATAACCTGCATGTGAGTGGACTCTCATTATCACCACTGCGACACGATCGTTTCTTTGCCCGAGAGAAAGCTGCTGACTGTGCGGTAAAAGTGAGCCAGCGAGAGGTCTGCTAAGGGTCTGCCAGGGCACTAATGATAATTTTTAGTGCCAGACCCCCAGTAGGCCTCTCCCCGACTCGTCTCAAATCTTCCTTTGGGCTGAGAAATACTCGTCCTGTAACGCTAGCGCTATTTATGAGGGCCTGCTCGTAGAAAATCTATTTGGCGACGAGGCGAACGTGACTTAGGTAGAAGACACACGAGGACATATGAAGGAAAGTAGCTAAGTGTGGCGCTCGCACTTGGCGCTGATTCACATTTCTCTCGATTGGCTGAAGATAAATATTTCCAGCTTGATTGTATGGCTTTTTATGCGAAAAAGAGATATGATCCTTTGAGATATTCATGTCAGAAGGTATTAAAAGGGTGAGGGCTTTTACGGCTAACGGATAAATTGTGACCATTTTACGGTTTAAGGTTAATTTCTTTTCGTCGCATTTCAAAGAAAAAAATTACGGAATTTGGCAATTTTTACTTGAAACGGCTAAATTTTTTTGCTTTTTTTACGGCTAACGGGTATCCCCGTTGGTACCCTCATATCAGGTTTTCTTCACGACTTTCTCTTATCGGCTAATAATTTTTTTTGTGAAACAGTTGATTAGAGATACAGCAAATGATAGTTACTGCGTCAAGTTCAATCTCATACATTTTACAAAAACGTGCAAAAGTTTTTCTAGTTCAAGAAGGCATACAGTTAAGCTGGAAACTAATTTTTGCGACTTTAACTTTTAACTTTTTCTGTTTGTCATGCTACAGCACTCTCCATCTACTTTTTAGAGACATCTCAATCAATATTTTTTGAACGCAGTAAGATAACACAAAGGACTAACCCCACGACCTCAGCTTACCTATTTCCTAAAGCATTTTTCCATTTTTTTAAAAAATAATTCAGAAGGTGGCAGATTTTAATGGAGCTCTATATTCTGGAGCGTTTCCTCTGCGGATTTTTACATTAAAAACCGCAACATTTTCATGCGTTTTATAGTAATTAAAGTATTCATTTCACGACGGTAATTTTCTTATCGCCTTACTATAGCAATTAATGAAACCGGAAACATTATGACATGGACTAAAAACTTATCCCTTGAAAATTTTTGTTCCAAAAATCTTTTGTTTTCGAAGAGTCGAAGGGGGGTCGCCTCTTTACCAAGAGGATTACGACAAAAGGAGCCGAAGAAAAAATTGTACCAGCTGAGGGAAATGTGTGGAAAAGTTAGTTTTTTGTGTCCTAGCTAGTTCCTATCAGGCCCCAGCAGTATGCAGGACGTTTGTCACGCATAATCCTTGTGTGTAGCCCAACTCTCCAGCGAGTTCTGTGTAGCATGGTGGTAGAGCATCGGACCGCGAAAAAAGGTTTAAGGTTTGAATCCTTCCAGCTGGAGTCCTCGATCCCACGATCATGCCAAATGGATAACATCATTCTTTATTTTACGATCAGAGACGCGGGCAGATAGAATATATTTTGACATAAGAGGTATTTCAAGGGGAAGCCTATTGTCGAAAAGAACTGTATGAAAAGTGAGAAGGTTCCCGCGTTTTTTTCCTTCGGGGCGTGCCAACCCTATACTTTTCCTATTTTAGTTGCTGTAGTTTTTACAATATAAAAAAAGATAAAACGATGACCCATAATTTCACCGTTGCATAGTTGCTGACTACTGTATCAAGCATCTGTGTTTCAACAATGCGAGCTGTGTAAATCAGCATGTGAACTACACGTGCTGGTGCAAAATTGGATGGACTGGAAACTATTGTGGAAAAGGTAAATTCACGTACTAGGCGTTAAAATTATAAAATGGTCCTAAACCCACAATGTCTCTGCAAAACGGGGTTTTTGCAGGACTTTTGGATCTAAACGTAAACAATATTCAGTAAGATTACAATCATGGCGAACCAAATCCACCAAAATTTCCTCTAGTCACATCGTGGGAACACAAAACAAACAATTTGTCACGGTCGGGGAGACCCCATGCTTAACTGTATTGCAGTTGCTTGCATCTTTGATTTTTGCCATCTTCCATCACCACTTGGTAGGTCAGTTTCAGTAGGTCAGGAGAGATCAATGAGCATTGCACATAGACTCAAGTGCTCTTTAAGGCGGTAACAACATTTGTCCATGTAGTAGAAATAGAACTGTCTAGTACGAGTACTTGAAAATGATATTGTAGCTGTTTTGTGCATTTTCTTTCTAAACATCCATGCATCTTTGCCCGCAGATACGAATGAATGTACAGAGAAAGCTAATGCTTGCCCAGCTCAGCCATCATGTGTCAATTCTATTGGTTCATATCGCTGTAATTGTCCGTCTGGTTGGAGAGATCGAGGTGCACACACCTACATCGATGTTGACGAGTGCTTGGTGGGATCTCACAGTTGTCCATCAAATTCACGGTGTTCTAATACTCCACGTTCCTACCGCTGCATCTGTTTGGCAGGTTGGAGAAACCAAGGACCCAGCACTTGTGTTGATATTGACGAGTGTTCTGTTGGATCACACAACTGTCCATCAAACTCAAGATGTTCCAACACAATAGGCTCCTACCTTTGCCGTTGCAAATCTGGTTTCACTCAACCCTACTCGAGATGTACAACAGGAAGCCATTCGTGTTCCTCCTACGGCAACGCCGTGAATACCATTGGCTCCTACTATTGTCGCTGTAACCGCTGTTACTACATGTCTGGACGCAGCTGTAATCGTAAGTAATATATTACATTAAAGATTTCTGCATTTTAGCCTTCCATACAACCAGTGATAAGTTGCTTACTGAGTGGAGCACTGAATTGGTATCACAAGTGATACGTTAATTAAAACAAGTTGCTTATGTCTTTCAGCTGTCACTACTGTTACTAAAAAAACTGTATGTTTATCAATTTTCTTCCAATAGCTGACTGTCGCCTCGACACCCAGTACTATTACACAAAGAGCTACACCTCTTATAGAGACTATTATACCAACGGTTGCTGGCTTATTCTAAGGTGCCGAAAATACAGGTAGGCAAACCCACTTTATTTTTATTGCTGATCGAACCTTGGTTTGTTTTAAAGGATGAATTAAGCACCCTTTCTCGTCTAAGCACAGCACACTGTATCATTAGAACACAGATACTTGCAGTACGAGTTCAAAGCTAGCGCTCGAAATAAGGGAGAGGGTGGGGACAGTGTCACTTTATAAAGAACAGCTTGAGATGGGTACTTTTAAACTATATCTTGCCGTAGGTGGCTAAATACAGATACCTTTTAAGGTACTTTACCATTTACAATTTCCAAGCAGCCACTCATGTTGTTGAATAAAACCCCTCTGCCCCTTAGCCTGTCTTGATTGTGCTCGACAACTTTTGCACAACTTTTGGCGTTTGGAGTAACTTTTTGCGGTTCTTGCAACCTCGAGCAATTTTGACCTTTTTTGCGCAATTTTTGAGCAAAGTAAAGGTTAAGAGCTGATATCAAGCACGAAAAAATAAACGATTTCATAAAAAAAATTCAATTTATACGAATTTCTTGAATGGTTACCAACGTTTCGAACACAAATGAACTAGGTGTTTTATTCCGTTAGACTCAAAAGTATTCTGAAATTTCGCCCATGTTTACGAGTAACTCTTTGAAGCTTAGTTTCAAACTATTTCTTTTGACCGATGTTGGCAATTGTTGTAAAGAGCGAGAAACAAAGCTTTCAATTAATATTTACACAAAAATATCAAGAAATTTAGGAATCAGCTTTTTGGATTTTCGGCAATTTTTTTAGCATTCCAGTGAGCAACTTTCCAGCATTTTACGAGCACAATCGGAACAGGTCTATCTGCCCCACTTTTGTAGAGATCACCTTCTATGGAAAAAGACGTCATACAAGTGTACTGGCTCTTCTTTGGGAGCTAGTGGTAGGAATAGAAGTAAACGCCCATCACACCGAAAAACTTCTCAAGGAAATAAATAGAGCATTGTTACCATGCCAGTGTCAGTCAGAATAACTATCCTTACAATCGTACGAATTACCCGCGGCATTAACTTTTCGTTGGGTAAATGCCATATTGATAGTGCTGTTGAAATATTATTAATCATCGTTAAGTTTATTGTCATTGCTTTTATTTGCCAGAACAAAATGGATATCAAAAATGGTTCAAAAAAGCCGTCAAGTCTGGGTGAAGAACCGTGTTGGGGCAAGCTGCCCGTGTTGAACCATGGCACTGAAGAGATTTCTAAGCCAATCGTCAGGGAAACAAAGAAAAACCGACGCAATCCAGGACCATTTTCGACTGCAAAATTAAAATTTTGTAAAACAGACTAAGAAAATGTACGCCCTATCGACGGTATATTTCTCAAAAACAAGAATAATTAATAAAGAAATAAATAAATAACTGAATAAATGAACTAATAATTATGTAATATTATTGTAAACTGTCTATGAAATATGTTGATTTGCGTCATGTATTTCTAAAATCAATTAAACATATATATGCTAAAAACCACGCCTAAACTACTAAAAAGTGGTTGTTTAAACACATTTTTGTGAATTTTCTGCCTCTGATTTTTCTTGTAGAGAATTATTTTGTTCATTTTTTCACCTAGTAGAGAAGAGCACTCACATGACGGAATTAATTTCTCTAGATTGTTTTTTTAAAGCTGTTACAGCGTTTTGAACGAAATGAACGAAAGTCTTAAGCATTAGAAAAAATTAAGGGGCTTATATCGTTTATTTCTTTGTTTTTAATTTGTTGATTATAACATTTTATAATTATAATACATCTGTGGAAATAAGAGGAATTACATCTACATAAACATAACTGGAAATTTGACATGTGGCGAGGGAAACCCTTAGAGAAACCAAGATGCTCATACGAGTTACAGGCTTCTTCATGTCATTTTTATATGGCACCAATGTAAGATACGCAATTATCTGTAAAATCGGTCCATGTTGTATCGGGAAATTGTATACCTTTCTCAAATAAAGTAGTTTCGAAAAATTAAAATTGGAGGCTTTGTATAATTCTGTTACTCGGGATTGTGGTTTTTCGCCAGAAGACAAAGCTAAGGTTTTCCACTTGAATATTTGTATGCTACCTGTAGTTTCGTCATCAATAAAATATTAGAAAAAGATTTTAGCTTCAGTCTATTGTACAACGCAATCAATATCTTGTGGAAACAAAAAACACAGCAGAAACTCATGGAGTTTTAACCGATGCGCGTTGTTTCGGCAAATGAGGAGCAACTTTAGGCTTCGCCAAATGAGGGCGGTATTAACTCCCTTTAACCTTAAATTACAAGTCTTTGGCTCGATCATCGCGTCACAGACCATCAACGCATATGCATGAGACCTATTCATGTACAGGTCACGCAATTTAGGCCCAGAAAACCAAGCTGTAGAAACCAATCTTCCGCCTAGCCCCTGTCCGCGTGGCTATCCATAAACTTTGACCTTCACGCGGATCATGCAAATGAAAAAGTGTCAGCTCGAGTTCGCAAGTTATCGCGAGTGCGTTATTATGCCAGCCGTATTCCCAAATCGTCAGGAAAATGGATCTTTCATTGAGTGTATTGTATTTCCTATGTAATTCGTGTTTTCTATGTCATTTCTATGTTGTTTCCAATTAGTTGTTCCATTTTTAATGTGTTATGCTTGTAACCCTTAAGTTAAGTTAAAAACCACTATCAGTGACGTGTAAGTAGAAGATTAGTAGAAATTTACTGCTGGTGAGTTGGTTATTCAAGCCATTGGCAACTGGAGTGCGCACAAGAATTCCTGTAGTGCACAAGAATTCTTGTTTTTCGTCCCTCAAGCGGGATAGATTTCAAGGCGCGCGGTATTCTCGTAGTGGCTAATAAAATGAAACGATTTTGATCTGCGCATTGAACTCCCCACAAACACCAATTTCCATAATTTAGTGCGACATGCAACATCTCGGTGACATAATATTTTAAAAGTCTTATGAGTCCGGTAAAACTAAAAGCCGGTCTGAGTCTGAGGCGCATCTGACACTCGTAATGTACGCTTTCCTATAACAACCGTTTTCGCGAAAGGCTGTTACTCGAGCCAAGTCTCCCACCCATTCCAAACTTATCCCAGGTTCCATGGCATGAATCGACCGAGAGTATCCCTATTCCCCCCTGGATGGGATATTAGTCCATTGCAAGGTCACCCCCCAGCATTTAATCAGGCTTTCCTCACAGTTCGCCAGTATCCATTTACACTCGTAGGTGGAGAGAGGAACACATAACCCGAACCCTCCCCGGGCCTGTCAACTCGGAGTCCTGCGCACTAGCCCTTCGGCCACTGCGTTCATGTTTCGCGACAGGTAACACACCATAACAGACATCATCTCAAGTTCTTGTAGTTTTTACCTTATTTTTATTTTAATCAGTTCATTCCCCTATTTCCAATCATGATTAAAAGCAACAACTTCAAGGCGAGCCGTAAAACAAACTCTGCACTAACATCAAATTGGAACACTGTTTAAAAAGTCACAACTACCAAAGCAAATGATAGAAGTAATTAACCCTTCCAACCCCAAGATCAGAGAGTTGCCTAATAGAATTTCACGCCACATCTGCAAGAGCTGAGTCTCTTCACTCTTAACCTTTCTACTTCAGAATGTGATGATATGATCAGGAGAAGTTGCGCACGAGTCTTTCCTGAGACTAGAGGGGTTACGCCATACAATTATGTGAATAAGTATGTTAAACACTCGCTGTACTGGCTTCAAATGCTCTGAACATAACTATCTAAGCTACAGGAACACAAGACCCTTCCTGACCGGCAGGGGATTGGGGCTGATGAGGGTCACAGACCATCATCCGCGTAAAGTTGAAATCCAAGAAAGCTTGAGTGATGCGTGATTTCCAAACAGCTTTTCGTTGCCAAAATCAGATACAACTTTGTAAAGCAATAAAGCGTAACCCTTCATAACAGAGCAATCAAAAGCCAGTAAACTTGTCAGTCTGTTTTTGACTAACTGGGCGGTTACACAACGATCCCCACTCATAGTCCTATAGGAATCACTGATGCGCTGCGATCGCTACGTTACGTTACATCACACAATGTTAACGTGAAGGCAGCCTAGCGGAAAAAAGCTCGAGCACACGAGGAGTTTGAGTTTGCCGACGCAGGGATAAAAGAAAATGCTGACGAGAAGGAAATGCGGTGGGAGAGCTAAAGTCTCGCTTCTAACAAAATAAACCATTTTCTTTAACGTTTGCAAAAATGTTTTCGTCATGAAACAAAACAGGAAGAGCCACCTTTATAACAAGAACAAAAAAAAAACAGAGGAAAAGACTATTAACATCAAAGTGACCCAACACAGGGCACATTTGCCCGGGGCGAGTGTAGCAAGTTCAGAATTAAATAAATTAGATCATTACGGAGACCGTTTGGCTTTATATACATAAATTATTAAAATGGCCCTTTATATTAACACTATAAACAAAATTGCCTTAAAATCATCACCATATCGAAGAAAAATCGATTCCTACCATTGATTCATTCAACAATTATTTAAAGCACCTATGAGTACCGTTATATTTACATTTACTTCGGTAACATTAAAATGGCTTGAAAAATGAAATGGTTCACTGCATTAAACATTCTGTTAGTGGAAATTTTCCTTTCGCTGGCTTTAAAATACTTCTAGCAAATACAATCTCTACGCACGTTAACCCTAACCCGTTATTGAATTTAGGCTTCGTGCCTCTGGCTCATGGATGTACCTAAATCAT